GCAAAAGAACACAGAATTCGTGCGGCGCGGCCGGCCGGCGCTGTTTTTGCTGTCGCTGTTGCTACTGCGGCCGCTGCAGCGGCGACGACAAACGCCGAGGCGCGGCGCGGTGCGGCGCGCGAGCACAGTGGCTGGAAACGCTGACGTTCCTTTTGACCTTGAAGACATTTTAAAAAATACGCCAAAAATGCAGAGTATGGAAAATATTTAAATAGTTATATATACACACTTGTAGTGATATATTATTTGTGAATGTAGTTAATAATATTTAAACCATTTACTCATATTTTTTTAATTAAACTTTAATTTTTTAATTAGTTTAATTTTATTTTATTAGAGGTAGCAAAATTTACAATGAAAGAATGAATTTAAAATAAGAAGGCAGAATTAAAAATAACCAATAAATGATGGAAATGATTCAAAATGAGGTATTGGTTTATTTATTTAATAATATTTACTTAGAATTAAATAGTTTTAAATATAATATTTAAAGGTGGTTTATTTATTTATTTGTTGGTCACGTGCATATATATAAAGTATGTGTGTGTGTTTAAACAAACAAAATGGAGTTTGAAAAATTTAGAATATCATTTTAGAGTACATATTAAAAATAGTTATAAGTAATTTTGGACAAAAAGGAAGATGTTTCAACGGAATATAGAGTCGCTATACCATCATCACAGTTTGTCCTGGTTTTGTGGAAAGCAAGGTGGCCAGGAAGTTAATTTCAAGGTCTTTCCACTAGCAAAAATAGTACAATTAGAAAGATTTGGAAAAAATGGTTTGCTAATTTATTTCAAGTTTCTTTTATGAATTGAAATATACACATTTAAGGTAGATCAATTTTTTTAAAAAATATTACCAATACACTAAAATTAAAAACTCATCCCAGCATTTTTTTTTTAAATGTTCTCCTCTCGCTCTGTATATTTTCTACCGACTGAGATGGCTCTAAGCAATCGTTGTTGTCACTATTACCATGAGGTCCTACCGTTTAAGTCTCAATGTTGGCGGATTTACATTGGTAGTTATAGGATAGCGAGATCGAATTTGTTCTCTCGAGGAGAAAACTAGTGGTAGAGTGCTCTTATCGGTAGTTTTCCGTAGTTTATACTATTAATACCAGCCAAACAAATGAGCTAAGAACCATGCGATATTTCCTTCTTTATGTTCGCTCCTCCTTCCCCCACCATAACACCCTCAAATGGACACGATCTGGAATTTCCGTGTTCCTCAGGGTAGGTCTGCTACCCTGGTATGACTCTGGCCGCGGAAGCCTACGACTTCACCCTTTCATTCACTAAACTACACACATGGCGAGACCAGTTGGGAGCTTAGAGTTTGGCGCGCCTGAGTTGGGACCCCTCGGAAATAGATATCAGAAGGGGAAGCTCAGGAAGGCACTTTTGGCCCGAATCTCACTTCCTAGTGGCAGAAGATCACCGCCACATAAAGGGATTAAAATTCCGGCACTAATAAGCATAGAATTTGATAAACTGATTGTTTCCACGCCAAATGCTATGGTCATTAGTCACGTGAGTGTACTGCATGTTTTATCACGAGAGGTGATTGAGATCTTTCCTTTTTTCATGGGGAGATCTGGTGGCAGCCTATACGAAGGCTTGTGAGGTTTTCCCCTACCAAGTATCTCCCACCTGCAAGGAACAACCGCAAGCTCTAAGCACTTCTCTCCCGACATATGTGGAAGTGTAGTGCATGTGAGTGTAAGTGAGTAGTGGGGATAGGACACAGTAAAGGAAAGATCGCGCGCGGTCCGTGATCCGTTTGTGAGGTACTGCTCTGGCATTCGCTTTGTTTTGGTCGGAGAAACCAAGGAAAAATACCGACTAGAGAGCCAGCTACTTGAATTCTCCTCCAAGCAGCGTCTGAATTCAACCTAGCTATGTAGCTACTGTCGAAAATCTAGCCACTGTCGGAACTCTGGTTCTCAACCCTAGAACATTCCGGTCAGAGACACTGTAGTTACAGCAAATGATGCCCTATGACAGTCATAGCAATTGACGCATCCTGAAAAACCCAACAATAAACCGATCACTGTGAATATGTTCCGAAAGCGCCCTTGACTTCGCCCACTGTGTGGTTCGCGTCCGCGCCGCCGCCGCCGCCGCCGCTGCCGCGGGGTTCCGAGAAGCTAACAGGACCCCAGGGCGGCCGGCAGCGCCAGGCGTGCGCGGCTACCGCGGGGGCTACTGCGAGGCAGCGGCCGGCGACTTATGCGACGGAGCGCCCGCAACGGGACTCGATTCGGGGCCCCGCGCGCGGAGGCCCCGCCGCCGTCACCGCGGGCGCACAGTGGCTCCAAGAGTCCAAATGCTACAAGAATTTGAACATGAGTAGACGGAAGTTATCGAATTTGACCCGAATCAGCGAGCAAGGAGGCATTTATTTTACTGAAATACTAATGCGAGAAACTTACTTAAATAGGGGTGGAACGAGGCATATAAAATACGCCAAATGCTTGAAAAAAGTATATGTGTGAAAATTATTGGATACTTGTATAAATGATTCAAATTGTTAAATTAAAACAAGAATAGTGGCTGAGAATTTGCAATATTTATGAAGTTCAATAAATATAAATTCTCACGTAATCGCCGATTTACCATATTAGAGTGTTCTCTAAACTTTTTACAGACTCCATCGTCTATCAGAAATAATATTGTTTATAAATGAAATTTTTTCTTGGCGGTACGTAATATTTCGACATAATGACTATGAATGTGTTGAAGTCGCCATGCTGTCCCATTCTAATGTGGACTGAACTACTCTCTTTCGAACTTTCGAATCTCATAATTGAAAATATTTCTGTGGTTTTCGTTTGTCGGATTCTGTAATCTCCGGAACTGAGCTGAGACGTATAATATTTTCATCTTTTGTCGGTCTCCTAAAGATTGTTCAAAGTCCTTTCTGAAGCGTTGAGTGAAATTCTTCATGCCCGAATAAAGTCAGTGAAACAAATCAAAGAATCTGTGCTGCCATATCTCCCTTTCTCGCAGTTATTTTTAAGAATTACTATCCTCGGAGCTCGAGTTCAACATTTCCTGTCTGATATCCTGCTTCCGCACGCAAAGGGAGAAAAAGCGCGGCATTGCCCACATGTTACTCAGGATTGCAGACTTTCCATGTTTGAAATCGGTGCAAGAACAAAAGGGAAAATAAAGACAATAGGGTTGGAACATAAATTGGCATATAATGGAATAAAAGGCTATAAAAAAGCAAAATGAAATCTTTCACACCTAAACATACCAGCAGTGCAGCTCTGAAGAAGGCCACAACACGATGGACGAAACGTCAGCTCGATCGACTGAGACGCGGCACAACTCGGACATCCAAGTATCCAATGACTCCGGCCCTGGAAGCCTAGGCATACAAACAAACGCTGCGTATATTTATCTGTAATGTTATTTAGTGAGAATTTAAATATTCACTCTCTATTGTTGATTCACTTTATGAAACAACATAAAACAGTTATATTTAAATTATTTTGAGAAACACGCACTTCAAGTTTTTGATTCTACACACTAGTCTATTAAATTACTAATTACATATTATTTCAATATATTATAATTATTCTTAAACTTAATTTCGTTAAGAATGTTATTAATTCTCTTTAATTTCAAACATGTGGCATGTGAAAAAATGCGTGATAGGTACTTCTTCTGAAGGACACTTTTTTATTTATTTTTTAATTTAATGGTGCAAATAATATATTATTTTCAATTTTAATTTGCTCGTATTATAAACAGCCACACAAATCATAATGTGGTTTGTTGTGTGCTTTCTTACATATCAGTTCAGCGCTTTTGTCGACTTTTCCTGTCAGTGTTTCTTGAGGAGCACATTCTTCATACAAGTTTTGGTAAAATGTTTTCTCTCTTCTTTAAGAACCTACATGACTTCCGAATATGAGAAGAAAATATTTTTTTTCTGTTTATTTTTTGTCGCATCAACGACTAAGGTTATTAGCGACAACATTTTTAATACGCTAAGGAATTTGCCAGTTCGTTGGAGGAAACGTACTGTCAGCGAAACAGAATGTAAGCGGACAAATGAGATCACACGTAAGTATGAACGGGAGATGCAGGCATAAAAGAAGCAAAACGAGGAAACTCAATGGCAAGAAGAAGCTGCACGCAGCAGCGGGCGAAAGAGGGGATGAAGCAATGGCGAGGTCCGTGCGTACGGCCACGGAGCAGCGCTCCTGCGGGGAGCTCGAGTGACGGAGGGGTCCTCCAAACCGGCGGATCTCGCCGCTTGCGCCTTCCTACAGAACGCCGGATGAGTCGACGCACAAGCGCAGATGGGAGCCGCTGTTTGTTTACAAATAACCACAGGGAGGCGGGCCGGAGGACCTCCTCGGGCTGTAACGACCGAAGCGCGGGAAGGCTGCCACAGTTTAGATGGTCGGGGTCAGAGGGGCGTGGGCTCTGACAAAACATCGGGCTCGGAGATGCAATAATAATTTACGAGTAACGTAGAATAAGTTTAGGTGAACATTTTCTTTAGGTGGCGAGGACGAGGAAAGTGTCGGCCTTTCTATTTTGGACGTGTAGTGCTTTTTTATGGAACAAAATGGTGTGTTATGATGGAAGAGTAGAAGCATTGTATATTGCGGCTTTTGTGGTGACTGCTGATTTTTGAAAACAATATTTCGAAGAATTATCGAGAACCACCTAAGAATATTCATGGCAATGCGTAGAGTGGGTACTGGTTGGCTGTTTATTGGCGGTTTTATTGGCGTTTTTGTAAGCAAGGTCCGAGTGGTTAGGGTGTAGGGATTACACGTAGGTGCAAGGATGTTTCCAATCAAAAAATAAGAATGGATGTGGTTAGGAATTTAATTGTCAGAGACACCGTTAGAAGAGCGCTAAGAAATCAAGGACGTAGATACAAGTGCCAACGATGAATCAGCGGCGTTATTCCGTGAGAAGATAAGATGGGACAGATACAGAATGATACGAAGCGTGTGGGGGAATGCGTACCTTGGTTTGCCCGTACGAACAGGCAATAGTGAGAGCGCAGCGACGATGTGATGAAGGCAAGGGTGTGTCGCAGGCGTACAGGCGTACTGGGGGTGTTGTATGGGCCCTTTCTTAACCCGGCAAAAATGTAGGAAGATGAATGGTGGCGTTTCTTTACTCCTATATATACAAACAAAATTTCATGTCATAGAATCACTCTATTGCGTTAGGTTGGGTTACACGAGCAATATTCATTGTTCTCAGAAACTATCCAGCGTTTTCCGATTAGTGTGGGTGTGTTTTATTTCAAAGTGAAAGCTCTGCTGCGATCTAGATATCAATAAGTTTCTTGGGAACCAGTTTCCATTTGCGGGCAGCCGGTTCCGAAGAACAAACAACATCGTGCTCCACGATCCGGTGTCAGTGAAACAGTTTATGTAATCGCTGACATTTGCCATTTCGGAAAGTGTAGTTTTTGAAACTTAAATAGAAGTTTACTTACGGGTAGATCTCATGTCCACGAGTTGTGAGTGTTGAAATGCAAAGGCTTGTATGGTCAGGGGCCGGGTGCAACGCGGGGGCTTGATACACTGCAAGGATGGGACGCCATTGTCTCCGGACATATGCAGGCGCTCCTATAACTTCAAAGCACACACTTGTTATCACCAAGGACCGTCACCTCGAGTCTGTATGCGTACTATCTCTTACTCAAATTGAAAACTTACCGCAAATGTCATGTCAACCGTGACAGTGTTTCCCCACCAAGAGGATCAAGGCCATAAGTTATGCGACTCGGCAAGAAGGTCCTTACTATGTAGAAGCTTACATAAAGGTCTATCCGGAAGTATTATTATGAACGCCAAGTAGAAATCAAGGTCATAGTCAAGAATATGCTAATAACAGAGTGTGTATCTATTCGAGTTATCTCAAACATATAGCCGAGCAAGCCTTACGAACAACCTGAAAGTTATGGTAAAATAAAAAAACTATGAATGCTGAAGTTGAGGACCACTTGTAAGCAAATGGCCATCAAAAGAATTATTATTGTTATCTTAGACGTTTTGTCCCCCTATAATCCCCCTTACGAGTAATAGAGAATGTTACTGCATCACAAAGAATAGTCAAATTGGCTTCTATCTAAAATTTCATTGTGTAAAAAGCTGGTATCCACGGACGGGTTTCCTCCCATATTAATGAGTTGTTTCCGTACGACTAAAGTTAGAATATTGCCCCTGAAGATGTTGAGTTCTAGCTACAGATTCTTACTCACTGGTGCATCTTATGGATGGCTCTAACATATAGGATATTTTTTACACTGATCGAATGTCTTGCTTTAACTGTCACCAAACAGGGCACTTGGCTGGACCAATGCCCTTCACATACACACCTCTAATCAACACAAGACTAACCTACTTAGGCACAGTGCTCCACTATGGAATCTAAACAATTCAGGGTGAAATCCTGTGACATACCAGACGGCTTGCATCAATGGAGAAAACACCTGGAGCTGTAGTATTTCAGAAAGTCACAATCGACCTCTACTAAAGAAATACCAAACGTGGTCCACCTCACTACCTTCTAATATCTGTTATTTTCCAATAATCAATGAAGCTAAAAACAATGCAGAGAAATCTAACGTAAAGACACATATGCTTTCCTTAATAATAATAAGATGCCTCAGACTGACCTCCTGCTTACCCTTCCCACTGAAAGCGGACAACTGAAATAAAGAATATGGGAGAGAAGTTTCAAAACAACACAAAAAAGAAAAAAGAAGAAAAAGAAGAAGATATGAAGAGTTGATTACCCACACAAGTGTCTAGTTGGTGTCTCATATGACCGCGCGTATCGTCGCCGATATATCATTGAAGACACTGCAAGCTAATAACTTCCGCCCTGTGGTGCGTCTACATTCAGGTTTTAAATCCTTTTTAGAAGAACTCTTTCAGTGGCTAATGATCCTGATTACTTATAGCTGGCTGATTTACTTCACAGGACCATATCATCCCATCAGACACCAATAATGATGCATAATTTGTTCTCATTCTCACCGAACAAAACGTCATAAAGGCAGATTCACCCAGAATTATCCAAGGAAAGATCAACTCCAGGTAATTAATACTTAGCAACGCGCAACCATGAATCAAGTACTGAACAACAGATTTCCAGGTAAGAAATCAACACCAGTTAAATGTAATGTGCCCGCATTAGAATTTATAAACCCTGCTGAAGCCAATACTGAAAGTAGAATGTAATTAATATATAACGAAGAAGTAAGATGATAATAGTTATACCGCTGCAGAGTGGAATTTAAATGGCTTTTATAATAGCCAGGCCCATTGATCTACGGTTAGGAACTCGAGTGGAGCTAAAAACGTTACAAATATTCTGTGCAACTACGATAGCCGCCTGAATATGAATATGTTATACACAGAAACCAAAGCGTTTAAAGGAAGAATTCAAATGGGAATAATAACTGGATATACTTGTACGCGTTTAAGAAATAGAAGTAATAAACGATCCTGGAAGAATGATGCATTGTGGTGGTTGTGGCAAATATATTCCAAAAAATCGATTTCCCCATTGAAAGATTCTATGAAAATTCAACACGTGACATGGAATTTCGGTGGCAATTAACATTATATTTCAAAAAACTAGCCTAACGCTCCATATATGGTAGGTCACTCAGGAACATATCTATGATTCTTCCGTATATGGGTACCGCAGAGGATAAAGACCGCCACGGACCCGGCTCGTCAAATCGATCGTGAGCCGCGTGTCACAGTACAAGAGAATCCGAGAAGATGCATGATAAATTATACGGGCCAGAGGAGGCAGACCCAGATTTAAAAAGAGACGGCCACTGGTGTGCATTGGATTATTTCGTTAGCCGGAGACTGTTAACTGCCGATCGTAGTAATGACTGTTGCTGGAACGTCCTTAAATGGGGATTCGTGACAAGAATTTGATAAAGAGGCTCCCGATTATTGGAAAAAGTAATTGACGATGCATGAAGCATCGATCCTCCTTAACTCTGCGTGATGCCCACTCATATTAATTATCAGTAAACACACAGGCCTTAAGTGGCCGCATTGATCTTGGTCAATATCGTTCTCCAGACCAAGCTGACAATAGGCAAGGAAATGGGTACACTAGGAATGTTATGGACTTCCCGTTACGATAGGTGATCGATATTGCCATACTGAACTGATTGATAGTACCACGCAAACGGAACCAAGTGTGTCCATTAGTCATATGAGATACGGCGCAGACCAGATCGCGCATCTAATAGAGAACAATTAACATGGCTCCTGATTATTAGAAAAAAAATTGGATGAGCAGCAACTCAAACGGAAGAATATAAGAACTCTGACTTCATACACGGGACAGAAACACTAATCCATTAGAACCGTCTCGCGAATGAACGAATAAGGCAGAATAGTAGACAATGCAGTTCTGTAATAGGTCATTCGCAATGGTCTACTTCTGCCTAGGTGACTCAAATGACGAAAATATCAGGTCAAATGTGCCCATGGGGCATTGTTCCGCGCGGTTTACAGTTTTCAACTAGAAGCGGTTCCGATTGGTGGAACTCTTGAACGAACTGCAAAGTCGCTATTTACAAAACGCTTAAAAAGCATTTAACCGGCGGTATAGGAGAAAAGAAAGAAGAGATAATGATAGCCTCCGAATCAAAGCTATCAAGAGAATCTAGAGCTAATTGCCCGCAGAATCTGTAAAAAATAAACAAAGCTAGATCATGGACTGAATAGTTATCGTTCAGACTCAAGTAGAACTGCCAAAATACGGAGCTTGTTGGAACATCAACAGCAAGGAAGCTGGAAGAAAAAGTAAAGACAGAGAAAAAAATCATCAATCCAATGACAGCTGTATGAAGACTAATAGTACCACTTAGATACCAAGTTTTCTTTGCGTTGGCACATGACCAGATAATTAGGAGGATCCGCGACCGAAAATTATTGGCTGAGGAAGGTTCTTCCGAGAACTTCGCATGAACAAATTCCAGCACTTCCAATTACCGATGACGGTAATGCCTGCATCATTTTAAAAGAAAAAAAGCTGGAAAAAAAAAGTTGGAACTCTAAAAATAGTGGGGGTGGGAACAAGAAAAATTGAAGAAGAACCAAGCGGACACCGAGCTATTGTGGACAGCATCTATATATGGACAGTGAATTGCTGTCTGGGGGCTCGCTCGACACGATTTTCCAATGCATGAAAGCTACTGGAGAGACAGGTGAGGAGAAGAGTTGTTGTTATAGTTTTACGAAAAAAAAAGAAAAAGGTAGATGAGCAATCTGCAAAGTACTAGGGCAGCGGCCTTCTGGGCCTCGACATGACAGATGATTCCAGTCAACGTTGGCTCTAAACAGAAATCAGAGTCGTCCCTCAAGAGAGGTTATAAGTTACTGAAGAATTTTATTAAAAATAATATAACCATATATGGCTAAATAATGTTTTCCTGAACTCTGAAGACTGCCACAGTCATTCCGATTCCCAAACTCGTGGCAAGGACCAGTCAAATAGCTATAATTACCGACCAATCTCACTGACCTGCAACCTATGCAAAATATTAGAAAAAATCGTTACAAAAAGAATAAGGTGGTTCCTTGAATCTCAACATTTAATAAAAGACAAACCAATTTGCATTCAGAACTGGACACTCCACCACCTCACATCTTATCAGCACGACAACGATAATCCAAGAAGCCTTTCTTTCAAGGGCAGCATGTTATCTTAGTAAATCTAGACATCGAAAAAGCATACGATATGGTTGGACACACCGCATAGCTGCTAAATTACTTAGTATTGGTATCAAGGGCAATATGTTTAAGTTCCTTACACAACTTTATTAGCAACAGATATATTCAAGTACGTATGGGTAATAAATTTATCAACAATTAAGAAACTTAATAATGGGCTACCGCAAGGATCAGTGCTCAGGGTGACCTATTTTTTATCGCCACTAAATGATGCTGATGATGATATTGTAAGCCCAGTTGTCGTGCGGAAATACGCCGATGATATGATGTTACTATGCAAAGGAAGGAACTTCGATTCAACCAATGAATTAATGCAAACTGCCTGTAACTGTATTTAACAAATGGTCAATGAAAACCGGTTTCAAATTCTCGACTGACAAATCTGAAGATG